ACCAGAGCGGAATCTCTTCGGTAAGCGATGGCCGACAGAAGGACATCTGGCAAAAATGGGAAATTCTTCATCCGTAGAGCGGGAGTATCGTAAACTAATCATGGGGCTTTTCTGCACTGTAGACGGGTGGAAACCAAGCAGAAACGGATTACTAGATTATCTTCACATATTAAGAATATCTATTACTGGTTTCAGTTTCAACAAGTACAGCTGAATTATAAGGCTTGGCAACAAGTTATTAAGGCGCTGCGCAACGCTCATCAGCAAGGGAAAACTATAAATTTAAAATTGTGGTCATTATGCAGTGCTATTACCCAGGCCTTGATGTTGTTGGAGACAGAGTCTGAGAGAGGAGAGGAAGCAACACCTGAGGAAACTACGATGAAGTGTCCTCCCAGGCGGAGGAAGGGAGGAAAGTTGAGAATCAAAACTTTGAAAGCGGGAATAAAGAGGGCAATCTCCAAGAGTTGACAGATCACTTAAAAGCTTTGCTGTTCCGTTTTTCCCCTGCTGCCCGGTCAGCTCCACCGTATCCGGTGGCCTACCCAGTTGCCTTACCCCCTCCTCCGTCTCCGCCTGATCCCCGGCCTGGGACGTCTTTCGCCGTTCCTCTGCTGTGGAATGGTTGAGGCGATGATGATTTCCCTTTGCCACCTGACTTTGATGATCACCCGATGGGGGGCAAGTCTAAGGGGGAGGGTTTTTCTCTGTTCCCTATTACTCGCCAAACTTTTGCTCCCAACACGCAATATCCACAAGGAGGGCATAACGTTCACTACCAGGCGTTATAATATAAAATGCTCGAAGAGATAAAGCAGGCTGTGCAGAATTATGGTCCACAATCTCCTTTTGTTAGAGGACTGTTAGATGCCTACTCTGCAGAAAATCTACTAATACCCATTGATTGGGAAAATCTGGGAAAGACAGTATTGGAAGGATCACAATGGCTCCAACTTAAAGAGTTGGTGGTGGGAGGAAGCCTGCATCCAGGCTCGGCAGAATGCCCTACGGCAACCACCTGGGTCCACAGAGGATGAGTAGTGGGCACTGGCGCATACACAACTTTGGCTGCGCAGACGGGGCTGTTTGATTTGGCTCTAAACCAAACTTAAACAATATTCTTAAAAATATGGACGAAGATTGATATCTGGAAAATCAGCCCCATCTTTTATAAAGACAGTCCAAGGGCCTACCGAGCCCTATACTGATTTCTTATCTCGGCTTAAGGATGCCGTCAACCGAGGATTGGGAGCATCAGAGGTGGCATCTATTTTACTGCAATCTCTTGCTTTTGAGAATGCGAATCCAGATTGTCAGAAAATCTTACGGCCCTAAAAGCAGGAGGAGCATCGTTGGATGAATATATCAGGGCTTGCGCCGGTGTTGGGGGTGCTGCTTATCATGCTGTCTATTACTGGCCAGGGCTATTCAGAAGAGAACTGCCGCTAAGCCTACCTGCTTTAATTGCGGCAAATCTGGTCATATGCGAAAGGACTGTAGGAAAGGACAAGGTGGATCAACAGGGCGAGGAAAACAAGCTCTTGGCTTGTGCAGGAGATGAGGGCGTGGGAAGCACTGGACCAATGAATGTAGATCTAAGACAGATAAGAACGGAAATCGCTTACCCACCCCACTTTCGGGAAACGCGCAGAGGTTGCCTCGACCCTGGGCCCCAACAAACAACAATGCGGGGTCACTTCAGTTTCCTGTGAGCAATGGAGTCAGTCATCAACTGAGCATCTCCTAAAGGTTAGTGATCTCAGTGCCGCCACTGATTTGTGCTGCAGTGCTGCAGCTGATTTGTGTCTTGCTAGAACTTACACCCTTTTACCTGTTGGAGGAATTTACAAGTTATCCACCGGAGTATATGGGCCAATACTAAAACAAAAGGGACAGTGGGGTTAATCATTGGAAGAAGTAGCTCCACCATGAGAGGACTTCATATTCAAATTGGAGTAATTGATGAGGATTATAAAGGGGAATTACTAATTATGGCTAAAGTAGATCAAACAATGATTGTCCACGCAGGGGAGTGTGTTGCTCAACTATTATTATTGAAGCATGTTACTTTCCCAGCCCGTGCTACTGTTAAAGAAGGAGGCTTTGAGAGTACTGGGAAAAAGGTGTTTTGGGAAACGCTAATAAATGATCAATGTCCTGCCTTAACAATGATTATTAATGGAAGGCCATTTGAGGGGCTGGTGGACACTGGGGTGGATGTTTCTATTATCTGTAAGGCTCAATGGCCTTCCGAATGGCCTTCCGAATGGCCTTCATATGTAGTAGACACCATCTTATCCAGTCTAGGACAGGCCAGCTCTGTATTACAGAGTTCCTACCCACTACCATGTCAAGGCCCAGAAAGACAGCAGGCCCAAGTCACCTATTATATTGTAGATATCGCAGTCAATCTCTGGGGAAGGGACTTAATGCACCAGTTTGGGGCCTTTTTGACAATTCCAAGTCTGTCTCCTTAAGTATGAAATTTAACCCTTTTGAGGCTAGGCTTTTAAATGGGTAGCCACTGCTCTTGAATCTCCTCGAGCCTTGCCTTTGGAGTGGACTAGCCAAACTCCAGTTTGCATAGAGCAGTGTCCATTACCCAGGGAGAAGCTCGACGTTTTTAAAGTGTTAGTCAAGGAACAATTGAATGCAGGACATATTGAGCCCTCGGTTTCATCATGGAATTCTCCAGTATTTGTAATCAAAAAGAAAATGGAGATTCCTTATAGATCTAAGAGAAATCAATAAATGTATTAAGCCTATGGGGCCATTACAGCCTGGTCTACCATCCCCAGCTATGGTGCCCCAAAGCTGGTCAATATTAATCATCAATCTCAAGGATTGTTTTTTTTACCATCCCCTTAGTTGAGGGAGACAAGGAAAAGTTTGCATTCACTATTCCTGAATATAACAATGAAAGACCCACTGAATGGTATCAATGGCGGGTCTTGCCCCAAGGCATGCTTAACAGTCCTACTATGTGTCAAGAATTTGTAAATCGGGCTTTAGAACTACTCCATAAGCATCATCCAAAGATCATCTTATATCATTACATGGATGACATTCCCTTGGCTGAGGAGACCCCTGAACAGAGGGATATGGTATTTGCACAACTCCAATGCCAATTGACCAAATATGGGCTTTGCATCGCTCCTGAGAAGGTACAAACTGACCTCCCTATTAATTATTTAGGCTTTCAAGTAGCCCAAACTCAAATTTGACCCCCAAAATTGAAAATTCGATGAGATGCTCTTAAATCTCTTAATGATTTCCAGAGTTACTGGGAGATATTAATTGGCTATGACCAACTTTAGGATCCCAACTTATAGCCTAGAGCATTTATTTTCCATCTTAGAAGGCAATTCAGCCTTAGACAGTCCAAGGGAATTGACTCCAGAGGCAGAAAAAGAATTACAATTTGTGGAAGAGTGCATTTCTGATGCTTTTTTGCAGCAAATTGATTGGAACCAACCCCTTCTACTCTATTTATTTCATACACCTCATTCACCATCAGCAGCAATAGGCCAAATTAGTTCTGTGATTGAATGGCTTTTTTTAGCCAATAAGCAAAATAAACTGGCTTATCTTATCATCAAAGGGTGATACCATTGTCATCAGCTCTGTGGCTATGATCCTACTCAAATTATTACCCAATTGAGCAAAAAGGATATCCAACAATGTCTTGAATTTAATGAACAGTGGCAGATAGCCTGTGCCAATTTTGTTGGCCAGTTTGATAACCACTACCCCCGGTCAAAGCTATTTGCATTCTTGAAAACACATAAGTTATTACCACATACTCCCATTGCATCTGATCCTGTCCAAGGTCCAACTTTTTTCACCGATGCCTCCAGCAATGGTAAGGCTGGATATTGGAGTGTTAATGCACACAGGGTTGAAGTGTCCCCCTGGAAGTCTGTACAGCAAGGTGAGCTTTTCACTACACTTCTCATTTTGCAAGATTGGCCTAAAATACCCCTAAATATTGTCAGTGATTCTCAATATGCCGTGTTCACTATTATTCATTTACCCCAAGTAACTTTGCCATTACAGGCCCAGGAACCACTCCAAGTTTTATTTCAGCCAATGGCTCAAATTTTATCTGCACGTTCCCTTTCTGTATTCATAACTCACATCCGTTCCCATTCTGGGTTGCCAGGACCTTTATCTAAAGGAAATTAAACAATCGACACTTTATTGATTGGAAACATTCAACAAGCTCAAGAAGAACATGCCTTTCATCATACTAATGCTTTGGGACTTCAGAAATGTTTCTTACTCACTCAAAAGCAAGCTCGATCTATACCCCGAAATTGTCCCCAATGCGCAGCTCTTAATCTTCGGACTTTGGCCCCAGGATGCAATCCCCGGGGTATAGCTGCCAATCATATCTGGCAAATGGATGTCACTCAATTTCCTGCCTTCGGCCATCTCAAGTATCTACACAATACCGTTGACACGAACTCACATTTCCAATGGGCCTCTGCCCTAACCTCAGAAAAGGCTGACTCTGTAATTACACATTTACTTTCCTGTTTTGCCGTTATGGGTATCCCTAAGACTATAAAGACAGATAATGCCCCTGCATACACTTCTATAAAACTATACAACTTGTTACAACCATATCAAATTCAACACATTACTGGGATTCCCTTTAATAGTCAAGGACAAGGTATCATTGAGCGAGCATATCGCACATTGAAATTGCAGTTACAAAAACAAAAAGGGAGAGAAGGGTATGAAACCCCACAAAGACAATTATTAAGAGTTCTTTTTACTTTAAATTTTTAAATCAATGGCAAGTGCTGGACCAATCGGCCGCGCTCATTCATTTCTCTCTGCCTCCCGTTTCTTGTCATCAGCCTGAGCCCATGTTCTATCAAAATCTACAGGGACATTGGTTACCAGTGGGATATTACAATGGGGTCGAGGATATGCTTATGTCTCTACAGGAGCTGCCTGTGAGTGGTTACCCACGCGTCGGTTGAAGCAACGATATGGCCAAACGAAATCGAAAGGACGACTTCCTGAAGGAGTTCCACGAATTGAACCTTCAGAGCCGGACCTTCACCATGGGAACTCGATGGGCGAACCCCCCAACCTGGGGACAGTTGAAGAAGATGACTCAAGAAGCTGAAAATATCTTGACCCAGACTAGGCAGCCTCGTACCCCTGCATCTCTCTTTCTAGCCATGTTGGCGGTGGTTACCTGCCAGGTGCGACCCACTCATGTTCAATCGACCTATTGGGCCTATATACCTAAACCCCCGCTCTTACGAGCTGTCTCCTGGGGTGAAACTGAAAGCCTGGTTTATACTAATGACACAGGCTGGATGCCATCCATCCAACCATCCATCCAACATGTTTATTTATCTATCTTTCTATCTTTCTATCTATTTAACAGATTTCAAGTCTACTATGTATTTATATATGTATGTATGTATGTATCTTTCTATTTTTGTATGTATCAATCTATATATGTCAATCTATCACCTATGATTTTATGTATTTCTCTTTCTATCTTTCTCCCTCTTTGTCTGTCTCTCAATCTATTTCTGTATCAACATCTCTTCATTGATATTTCTAATTATTTATCTATCTCTATATGAATTTATATATCTTATATCTCTATGTATATTAATATATCTATCTATAACAACCTATCGATTCACCAAAGTATCTTTCTGAAACAATATTTTAATTTAGCTAATGATTTATATATCATGTAAAAATGTTAATTTTATTTTACAAATATCTGACTCATTTTCTATCTATATTAAGATATAATTATTTATTAATCTATATCTCAATCTCTCATATTTATCAATCTACTTATGCTTCATATTTCCATCCATCAATCTATCCAAACATCCATCCATCCATCCAACCATCCATCCAACATGTTTATTTATCTATCGTGTATGTATCAATCTAGCTATCATCATTTATGTATCTATCTATTATCTATCATCTATTTATGTCTCTAAGATCTGTATGTATCTTTATTAATCTATCTTAATACATCACATTATTATTATATATTTCTAACAGAGATTATTTTCTTTCTCTATGTATCTTATGAGTTATTTTTGTTCCATATTTATATTTATCAATGGACCATCTTTCTATTAATCTATCATGTATTTATCTATTTATCTAACTATATATATAATTGCCTATTTATCTGTTTATATCTTTATTACTTGATTCATTCCTTTATCTATTTATCTATGAAATTGATTATTCACCTATCTATCTCTTTATCTATGTATTTATCTATCTTTCTATCTATCACTATCTATCTAGCTATCTAGCTATCTATCTGTCTATGTATTTATCTATCATCCACCCAATAATCAGTCCATCCACACATCCACTCATCCATCCATCCATCCATCCATTCATCCATCCGTCCATCCATCCAATCATCCATCTATCCATTTATCCATCCATCCATCTATCCACCAATTTTTCTATGTTTCTCTCTGTTTATCTTTCTATCTACCATTCTATCTATCATCTATCATGATATATTTATCTATCATCTATGATTCTACATTTTTATCTATTTATTTAATTATCTATCTCTTAATTTTTTGGTCTTTCTGAATTTTTCTCTATTTGTTTATTTATCTATGTATCTATCTGTCATGTATATATATATTTATTTTTTTATCTACATCAGTTTGTTTAACAATATAACTATGAATTCAACAATCTATTTGTAATACAATATTTAGGAGAATATAAAATGATCAATAAATCATTTTTTAAATGTTACATTATTTAATAATATCTGTATAATGGTCTATGTATCTAAATATTTAATATATTTTATTTTATTCATTCATTTATGCATTATCTATTTCTTTATCTTTCTATCTTTCTATATTTCTATCATCTTTTTCGCTATTTACCTGTGTTTATCTCCCTCTACTCTTTCTTTCCTCTAATTAACTATATATTTTTCTATTTCTCTATTTTTTCTTTGTATCTATCTTTCTATGAATCAATCTATCTATCTCTCTATATTTCTATCGATCATCTGTCGATCTATCGGTCTATCTTTCTACATTTTATTTAATTATTTAACTACCTTTTAATTTATTTACGTATCATGTATTTGTCCCTCCATCTATTCATCTATCATTTCATTCATCCATCCATGTTTTCAAGTATTTATGTATTTATATATCTATCAATAATCTATCTATATATTATCTATTTATCATATTTCTAACTATCTATGTATATATCTATTTATTCATATGTCGATCTATGTATCTATCTATCCACCTATTTATCTATCAATCTATCCATCTTTCTATCATCTACCTATCTATTTAAATTATATGATTCTATCTATTTATATATCTATATGTCATGTATCTATTTATATATTTTTCCATCAAAATCTATCACTAACAATCTATCATCAACCATGTATCTTTAAAGCAATATTTTTAAACTTACATAATTTTTAATAAATCATATAAAAAATTTCACTTTATTTAATAATATCTGTATAAAGGTCTATGTATCTAAAATAACTATTTTTTCTATCAGTTGGTTAAATTTATCTATCAATCTATTATTTATATCTCCATCCATCCATCCTTCATCTATATGTCTCTCTCTCTATCATCTATCATTCTCTATCTATTAATGTATTCAACTTCTGTATATATCTTTATTAATTTATCTGAAAATATATTAAATTATCCTTTTATTTTAAATCACTGATCATTGGGTTTCTGTTTCTTCCCATTTTTTTGTTCTTTCTCTATGTATGTATCTATCTATATATCAATTGAATTATATCTTTATATCTCTATTTATCCCACTATCTATCTATCTATCTGTTTGTCTTTTTGTCTGTCCTTCTGTCTGTTTATCTGTCTGTCTCTATAAATTTTTTCTTTATTAACATTTATAGATGCATCTTTTTAGCCATTATCTATCTAGCTATCATCTATTTATAATTTGTTTATTTATTCATCTATCTATAGCAATTCATCTACAATGATATATCTCTCAACAATGTATTTTTTCAAATAATTTTAACTTACCTAATGATTGATAAATCATGTAAAAAATGGTACTTTAATAAATATCCTTCTAATTATTTGTGTTCCCAACTTTCTAACTATTAATCTGTTTATTAATGTATTTCATAACTATCTATCTTTCTATTTATGTATCTATCTATCTATATGTCATCTACCTATCATCTATCTATCGTCTATTTACGTATCTTCTCTTTATCTGTCAAACGCGTATTTATCCTACTATGTATTCATCTATTTATTCATCCGTCCATCCATCCATCCCTCCATTCAAGTACATATCTATCATGTCTCTGTGTTTCTATATATGTATGTATGTATTTCTGTATGTATGTACATAGCTATCTATCTATCTATCTTTCTATCTATCAATTCTCTATCTGTCTATATCTCTAGCCGTTTATTCATTCCGTTATGTAGTTATCTATCATCTATCATCTATCTTTCCACCTCTATATTATTTTTCTATATATTTATGTATCATTATATATCCCATATTTCTTACTATTTATTCACGTGTCTTTTTATTTAAGTTTTTATTTATCATCTATCTATTTTTCCATTTTCCATGTGTCTATTATTTCATCCATCCATCCATCCATCTAATCCATCCGTCCATTCATCCATCTAACCATCCATCTATTTATATATCTACCAACTTTTATAAACCTACTTATAATGGATCTATTTATCTGTCAAAGATTCTATATATCTATTCAAAAAAATGTATATATTTTTTCATTTATTTTATATGTATCTATTACCTATCTGTCAGCTATTATTCTATTTATCTATTTATCTTTATCTATTTATCTATATATCTTTCTGTCAAACTATGTTTCTATCTATGATGTATCTGTCTATCCATCTTTCTATGTTTTTTTCTATCTTCAGTGTTTTTATTTATCTATGTATCTACTTTTGTATCGATTTCTGTATGTATCTATTTATTTATCTTTAGTTTTGTATTTGTTTATCTACCAATGTATATATCTCTCTCTCTATCATTTTCTATCATTTTATCTATCAACTTTTATATGTATCTATTAATCAATCACTTAATATATCAAGTTTTCAGTAGCTTTGTGTAACTACTGATCGTTGTATTCGTATATCTTACTCTTATTTGTAGGTATCTATCTATTTATTAATTTATTTATTCATACTTGCATTCAATTATATTTTTATATCCCTACTTATGTATTCATTTTTCTATGTATGTATGTATGTGTGTATGTATCTATCCTTATCTATTTTTTCATCTATCAAATATTTGTTTATATTTTTATATATTTACTCATACTTTCACTTATCTATGTATCATCTTTTAACCATCTATTTATTTACTCTATTATTACTCTTTCCAATCATCTATTCCACTCTCCATTCATCTGTCCATATAATGATTCATTCTCACCCACCTTCCTATGTATCAAATTTTTATCTATGTTTCTATACATTTATCTGTGTAGCAATGTATCTCTCTATCTCTCTATCTATTAATCTATCTATTTATCTATCAGTATTATCTCCATCCATCTATCATTTACAAATCTATTTCAATATATCTGAATCTATCTATATATTTATCTATCATCTATCTTTATGTTTATCTATCTTATTATATATCATATATCTAACTCTCTATTCAAGTATCTATTTATCAATCTACGATTCAACAATGTATATCTAAAACAATGTTTTTGAACTTACATAATGATTGATAAAGCATGTATAAATGTTCCATTATTTATTACTGTTTTTTTAGTAGTCTATATATTAAATATCTAAATCTCTATTATTCTATATATAATTGTATCTCATATATATCTTGTATCAATCTATTAATATATCCATTCATCCCCTCATCAATTCATCATCTCTGTATCATCTATCTATCTATCTATATATCTATCTATCTAATCTCTATAACATCTATTCATGTATTTTCATCTGTCTATCTATTTATGTATCATTTTATCTTACATTTATTCACCTACCGTTCTTATCTTTGTTATATCTATTTATGTTTATAACTATGTATCTAACCATCTATCATCTACCTACCTATATAAATATATGTATTATTCTCTCTAAGTTTTTATCTATATATTTATCTATCTGTCATTTATTTATTTATCCATTTTTCA